ACCAGATGTTTTTTAATCCACATGTTTGTCATATTTGATGTATTTGGTTTTTATTCAGTGCCAGAATCACTTCATATATGAGATTCCACTCATTTATATTTTTATAACCTTGCCTTTCACCAGGCCGTTTTTTGCTACAAGGGGGCACACAGTATGGTCCACGCATTACTATACTTGCCCCGTGCGTTTTTAGGATTGCAGTATCTTATTCCCAGTAAGATCACTGCAGAACCAACACCTGTATGTCCATACATTCATGTCGGTCTTCTTTAAAATGGCCGCCGCGGACGCTATCTGCGCATGCGCGAACGGCCGATCGCTACTGCACATGCGCGAACCGGCAATAACGGTGCCGCCGCATTGCGGTGTTTTTTGGCGCCTTTTTAGGTTTAAAACACCACACTTAACACTGGCACAGTCCCCTCTGATGATGTGTACTTACACGATACGCGTTAGGGAAGTGCCAAGCTATGTTTATCTTATGTACATGTACCTCCGGTCTGGCCGTTTATAAGCAGCTGTACCTTTGCTAAGTAAGTTCTTTTCTGATTGTTCAATTTTAAATAAACGTTATCACACTATTTGAGGCCTTTTTCCACGGGCTCTTTATTTCTGGGGAGCCTGTAAATCCAGTAGGTCCTGGGATTGTGCCTAACAAGAACACATCTGCAGTGACATCCCTGGATCCGTGATACAGTTTCTCCTGGAACCGATGACATCTAGTGGTCACTCTACAGACAACACCCACCTGATCCATCAACACAGTGGCTGGACACAGCTTCCATCCGGACAGATGACATCTAGTGGTCACCCTATAGATGACACCGCCTTGCTCCAGTGATACAGTGGCTGAGTACCAGGGACAGGTCTTAAATGTCCCATGCGCTTTAACTTGCGCTATCTGGTCAGTGCATTACTTGGCTTTTCTTTATCATTTCTGATATCTACTATCCCTGGCTCTTCAAGTGTTGGAGACTGTATACGTATTTAGCACATCTGATGAACTGACGCCGTCTTTTTTTGCCGATCCACATTCAAATGGGATCTATCTTATGTGTAATCATTGTTTAAGTTAGCGCTGCACTTTCATATTTTACCATTACTCTGGAGGTTCACGAGGTGCCTTTTGTGCCAGCAGCTACCCTATCTACATCCTCATACTGCGCTCGATTTTATATATATATTTATATATAAGTTTATTTTATCCCTCCATGGTTCTTGCCTTCAATGCCTACATCATTATAGGACTCAGTAGGGACTATGGAGAGCGTTGTTCAAAATTTGCATCAGGGTTATGCAGGCCATGCATGGGTCAAATTCCGAACTCATTTTCTTTAGAAAATCGAAAATTTTGAGCGTTTTGTAATCCGATGGCGCCACCATTGATTTTGAAATTCAACCAACCGAGCCTTCAATTTCCCTTCATGTTGCTACAGAAAATAATTTTTGTGGCCAAGAATTTTCTTTTCTTTCCAGGTCAAAGCTCATGCGCATTTCTTTTTTGTTTAGCTTTCCCACACAATTCTCCCCTCATTGATTTGAAATTCGTTTGTTTTTTTTAAAAGTTTCCAACATTCCCGATCACTCAAATGCGGTGGTCACACGAAAATTGCCAGTTTCTGTGACCCACTAATTGTGCGAAATTCAAACGAAAATTCATAGAAAAGATTTTAAAAAGAAAATTCTTTCAGCATTCGACTCGTGTATGGCCGGCTTTACCTGCCTCTCTGCAGTTGAGCTCCTGGACTAAGCTTTTTGAAGCCACTTTTGAAGCTGTGCTGGGAGCAGTAGACATAGCAAGAGGGAGGTAGAGCAAGAAAAAGGGACCAGAGGCACTAAGAATCCGGCAATCCTGGAAATGTCTGATTCCTGTGAGATTAGCAGCACATCTATGAAGAAGAGTGCTGATCATAATTTAAAATAACATGGCCAGAAATGTTCTTCTCATTTCCTGTAAATGGTTTGATAGCAGAAGTCTGATCTTTCCTGTGCAAACTACTCATCCCATCATCTCTCATACAATGGAGGCTGCATCACTCCACTGTATCTATGGAGGGAGCCATGATTGTCACCCTAGGCTGCTCTCCTGATATGGACCCCAAACATGTCCGTATCTCTTCGTCTCCATTACATGGGGGGGGGGGGGGGGGGGGGGGGGATTGGTAGTTTACAAATGAAAGCTAAGAAGGAAGATATTTGTCAGTGCAGCTGACGGAAAATGACAAGGACTCTGCATTCCTGCCAGGATAATAAACAAATATTTTCTGAAAATGTACTTCGGGCCGGTTCAAACTATAGAAACGCAGTCCAGATGCGTTTTTGACGCATTTTTGATGCATTCCAGTTTATTTTTTCCCTTCTCTATTTCTTCAATTTAAATAGGGGCATGTGTGTTCCAGTGCGAATTACTGCGTGCAGTTCTGTGCAGAAAAAATGCAACATGTTCTACTTTTTATTGTGCAACCAGATCGCACTGGAACTGCAAGCGCTGATGTGAACTATGACATTGACCTCCATATAACCTACTTTCTGTGCGTTTTGGATGCAGAAAAAAACGCAACTGAAACCCATGTAGCTTGAACCGGCCCTTAGGGGGAAAAAATTCAAAACAAATGCAGCTGCCATATCTACAGACAAGCTCCAATAGATCATATTTTTCTTTCTGTATTTAGTTATTCTTTAACTTGTGAAACCTGAAATCAAAAATGTAATGTATTGCAGCTTACCAATCAACAGATGTGGTGGCTGAATCAGTTTTCTTTTCCCCTCTCTGTTTTCACCTGGTGATCTGGCCAGTACCACACCTCCAGCATTAGTGAGACACCACTCTGGAGGAATAAGCAGAGGAGGCACAGCAGACAGCAGCACTGTCAGGATGGGGGATGGGAGTGTTAAATGTATTAGCAGATTTGAACCACTAACAAATTGAAGCCAAACTCCAGCTCACTTTGTAATAATTTACAGCAAACGGTTTTATTTTTTACTTATGGGATAAAGCTTTTGGACGAACAAATAAAGCTGATCACTGTAATTGCGCCTGCAAGTGTTAAAGTGTTACTAAACCCACAGCAATAAAATCCATCTGTATATGCAGTAAAGCATGCTTGTTATACTCACTGTGGAACCCAAGGAGTTAATCCTCCGCATTATGTAAAAAAAGATGTTTGATCCTGTATTCTCTGATCCTCCCCTTGTTCTACTGTTCCCAGTCCATCTGCTGATAGTACAGAGCTCTTGGAGTCACTCTGAACATGCTCAGTTTGGTGTGTATTGCTACAATTTTTTTTTTTTTATTATTTGGGAGGGCTTTATGTGATCTGCACAGGGCCAATCAGCACAGACAGAGGGTCAGGGGTCATGCAGGCTCTTAGGAAGGTCAGATGAGAATGCAAACTCCTTTTACAAGATTAACCACTGCTCAGCCAGACACCAAGAGAAGTCTTAAGACTGCTATACACTGCTGATGAGAAAAGGTATTCAGCAGCTTATATTTACTAAAATAATTGCATCTCCTAGATTGTAAGCTCCAAAGAGCAGGGCCCTCGAACCCCTCGTGTATTGTGTTGTTACTGTCTTGTCTCATGTTCTGTCCCCCTTGCTACTGTACAGCGCTGAGCATACCCTTTGGCGCTATAGAAATAATGTATAATAATAATTTCCATGTTCTGTGCACTGTGGGAGACCAAATAGAGTGAATGCAGAGTCCTGGGTTTAGTAACACTTTAAGTGGTTTGTCTCTTCCATGTAAACTGATACATTCTTCTGAAGAGTTTATGCTTTTGAAAAACAAATGACTTGCAGGCTGGATTACCAGATAAAAATAGGGGATAACATCTTGGGCGATCATGGGGGTTAACTGTGTGCTGTTTTACTATGTGTGTGTGTTTCACTGTAAACACACTGCTTTGTATGGCTCTGCTATACAGAGCCATACAAAAGCAGTGTGCAGGAGCCAACAGGAACGAGATCTGTGTTGTTTACACACAGGTCTCTCCCCCGTCGGCAATACTTGGCGATCACCAGGTGCCAGCAAGTAATCACTAGCCGGGACCCGTGATTGACAGGCGGGGCCGCGGATGACGGCGTGGTTAGGGCACGTGTCCGTGCTCCCTACCCAGAAATACAAAATCATGTATGTATACTTGATTTGCACACCCATGCCGCCCTGTAGCAGTATTTCTGCTATAGGGCGGACAGAAAGTGGTTAAACCTGTCAAGACAAAAATATCAGACTTGCCACTGCCTGCTTCTGAAAGTTCTGACTGACAAGCTCTTACGGTGACCCCCTGGCTTCAATACTTTTGTAGTCACTAAGCCAGAACAAGCATGCAGATCAGGAAAGTCAGAGTGAAGTCCTCAATCCTGATCGGCATACTTTGGATCAGTGACTTAGAAAGTACTGAAACCACTTAATCAGCATGACAGCCAGAGAACATCTAAGAAAAAGCAATCTCAGCATCCACACACAGCCACTCACAAAAGGTAAATATAAATCAGACTACAGGCCAGGGTAACATTTTATATCAATCTTTACTTGGTAACTCTCAATCAGGTGGGAAATTATAAAGATTTCAACTTATTTTTAAAAGATAAGAGCAGCCCTTATATGAGATTCCAGAAGGTGGATGCAGAATCTTCGAAACATTTACGTTTATGAAGTCACAAACTGCCAGTTTTAAAATCCAGTAACCACACACATAATAATTTAAACATTCAACTGATCATTTGATGTGACTACACTGATCAAATCAAATGAAAATTGCAAACTAGAGACCCTCCAAATCGGTTTAAAGAGCCCTAAATTGATTATATATGATTTATATTTTGCTTTAAATTGTATTTTTTTTTTGGAAAAAAACAAAAAAAAAAACCAGGAGCACTTAATTTCTGTGTTGCGTCCAATTCCCAATCAATAGGATGCGGTAATGGAGCGCACTGCGACATTCATGTGCGTTGTGGCATGTCACACAGCATAGTGTGAAAAGTCCCTTTTGTCTCTTTCACAGTCCAAACCGTTCTTCTGCTTCAGAAGTGATCATTTCTGCTATAGCCAGAGAAGAGGTGGCCGCTGGAGATGGGGCGTTCCTCACATGGAGAATTCGGCTTGCAATATCACCAGACCCGCCGTCAAACACAAAATCGTCCACTAGGTTCCCGTCTCTGTCCAAGGCCTGTGCTCGGACTCCTGAGGGGCCTCTGTGTGAGAAAGAGCCGGCTTTATATGTCTTGTATCACACATATGATGGATGTATAGAAGCCAAAAAAGTAATTCTAAAACACTTCTTGTCTCAGGATGACACCACTGCCCCTCCAGATACAGTACAGTGAGCGAACGCTCACCCTAGGACAGAGGTGTGGTACTTGCAGGATCAACAAGTGAAAATAAAAGGAAAAAAAAAGAAAAACTAATGCAGCCACCACATCAAATGACTGGTGAATTGCCATATAAAATGTTGTTCTTGAGTTTTGATACACTTTAAAGAATACATTTTTATTTTCCCATGCAGTGCGGCTGTGCCCGCACTGCATGGGTTGACAGCTTGTTTTGGTATAGGGGATTGAAGAGCACAGGTATACTTACCTAATCTTCCTCTGAGTGCAAGACCGGTCCCTGCTTCTGCCTCCCCCCACCCCCCGGCACACTAATGGTCTTGTGAATGGACTGTTCCTGACATCATCACACCCATAGGCCAGCTCTGGACGGGAGGCTGGCAGAACAGTCCATCACTGGATGAGGGTGAGCGCTGTTTTCTGGAAGATTGAAGGATCGGGTAAGTATAGCTTTTCCTTGTGCCCCTCGTCAAAACGAGCAGTTAAACCATGCAGTGCGGGCATAGCCCCACTGCATGGGAAAATATAAATTTTACTCAAGTTCTTCTTTAACCACTTGCCACCAAATCACATACATGTATGTGATTGACTACAAGTGATTATACCGGGGTTATGGCTGCAGCTGTCAGCCATAACTCCAGTATCATTTTCTTAAGCTGGCCATGCTCTACAAAGAAAAAGCAATCCTAGCGGCTAATTAGCCGCTGAATCGCTTTTACAGGCTGCTGAAGGGAGTCCCCTTCTCTGGAAAGTATTATATATTTTTTTTTTCTTTTATCTCATGCTCTCCAGGGTAGAGGAGAGATCTGGGGTCTTATAAAGCATAACAGATCCTCTTTATGGAGACATATGGGGGTTTATATCTATCACAAGGGATGTTTACATTTCTTGTGATAGGAATAAAAGTGATAAAAAAAAAGAAATTAAAAAGGGAGTGTGTAAAATATTTATTTTTAAAAAATATTTTACACTCTCCCTTTTAATAATAATAATAGTAATTAAAAAAAAAATGTGTAAAGCACTCCCATCCCTGTGTGCAGAAATGAACACATATGCGGGCCACGCACGCATACGTAAACTGTGTTCACACCACACATGAGGTATCGCCGCAATCGTTATAGGGAGAGCAATAATTCTAGTGCTAGACCTCCTTTGTAGCTCTAAACTGGTAACCTCTAAAAAAAAAATTTTAAAGCATCGCCTGTGGAGATTTGTAAGTATAGTAGTTTGTCGCTATTCCACGTTAGGTATCTATTTAATCTGTTATATTTTACCAAAAATTGGGTTATATTTTGTGGTTTGTTTGTTTTTTTCATTCAAATTTATTTTTTCCAATTAAATTGCATTTAAAAAACCGCTGAGCAAATACCGTGTGACAAAAAAATTACTACAACCACCATTTGATTCTCTAGGACCTCTGCTAAAAAATATATAATGTTTAGGGGTAGGGTTGGCGCCAATACTAAGAATTTGCACAAGTACTTGTACCCACCCATGCATTTTTGATGATTTTTTTTTTTTTTTTTTTTTAAAGAAACGTGTTGTTTTCTCAGAGGTGCAGGCTGATGTCAGGCAACCAGTAACACACTGGAAATGAGGCAAAAACACAATGGAGTGATGGGAAAGCAGCCCTACTATCTGCTTAGAGCACCTTCGTTTTCTGTCTGGGACAGAGCGCCCTCTTGTGTTAGTGATCATTGCTGCTACTGACTAAAGATTTTACTTTCCCTTTGATGTATACATTCTGTTGTTTAGGTCAGCAATGGGGAGTTGTTTTGGTCTCTGGACTGAGCAATGTGTCGCCGTCTTACTTTGAGAGTTTGCATTATTTGCAATAAAACTTGTTGGATTTCAAAGGGGAAAAAAATGGCAAAATGTAACCTGTTTGTATGAATGAGGAAAAGCAAGCATATAGCTCCTGAGAGACCAAAGAAATCTCACCATAGCTGACCTGAGCAACAGAATGAGCATTACAGTACAGTTTCCTTTGAAGTAGATTTATATTAAAGTGTTTCTAAAGTCCAGATTTTTTTTTTTTTTACCTTCCCTGCAAGTCCTTTCTCCATCCAGTGCTGTGCCCATCTGCAGCTGCGCTGTCCCCTTTTTCTCTTCTCACAGGACAAAGAGGCAGCAGAGACAGCCATTGGCTCCTGCTGCTGTCAATCAAATTCTGAAGGAGGAAGGGGGGTGGGGCCAAGCTGCACGGTGTGTATCTACGGACACACACAGCCCGGCTTAGGAGCGCACCTGCACAAGTACTTGCAGAAGATGAGGAGGAGTGGAGAGTGCCGGCGAGGGACCCCAGAAAGGAGGGTAAGAGACCGCTCTGTGTAATACCATTACACAGAGCAGGCAATTCTAACCTCTTTTTTTTTTTATTTAAAAGGCATAAATTTGCCTTTATAACCACTTTAAGCCAACAGGATACCTTGGCACTCACCTGACAATATCACTAAGAGAGAGCTCTGGGATGAATTTCTGAAGTTCCTTAAGCTGTGCGCTTAAAAATAAAGCCCGGTACATCTCTCCCATTCCGTATGCCAGATTCTTCAGCACCAACTTAAGAAGCCCACTGGATAGAAGAGAAAAAAACAAAAATGAAAACTTGATAAAATTTCCAGTTTTACAAAGTAACAAACACAACAAGATTTTCTTGCCATTAATGTAGAATATTTGAGATCTGATCATAAATTGATTAGTATTTCTCAATTTTTAGAGAAACTATAAATATGATCAATGTTAGGCCTCATGCACACGGGACTTTTTTTTTTTTTTTTAACTCACCTAGAAGCCAGCAGCATTTTTACAAGAAAAACCGCCTTACGCTTGTAAAAGTGTCTAACGCTTTTACAAGCGTTTAGGCATATTTCCAGGCGTCAAGCGCTTCGGCATTCATTCATTTCATTGGACAGAATAAATCATTTATTCTGGCCATTGAAGTAAAGTAACATTCAAGTGCTAAGCATGCCTACCGTTAAATGCGTTTAAGTGCGTCAAGTGGTTTTTTTTTTTGAGCCAAAACGCTGCTGCTCCTGGACGCACTGGCAGTGGGGTTTTTTTTTCCTGCCATAAAATGCTGCAAAAAGCCTTTGTGTGCATGGACACATAGGCTAACATGCAGGGGAGTTTAGAGGCAACCCCCCCCCCCCCCAAAAAAAACCACCTGACGCCCCTAGCATTAAAAACACCCAGTGTGCATGAAGCCTTAAAGCTATCAGTGTAAACTGTGATAAACCCAAAATAAAAAAACGTAATATAATACAGCTTACCAATCATTAGATGTGGTGGCTGCATTAGTTTTCTTTTTTTGGGCTTTCTCTTCTTTTCACTTGGTAATCTGGCCAGTAAAAACACCTACTGTATTAGAGCACCCCCACTTTGGATAAAGGGGCACCTTGGGACAGCAGCATTGTCTAGGTTAAGAGGAATATTAGGTGTACTAGCAGTTTTCAATACCCTGACAAATCAAAGCCAGACTCCAGCAAACTTTGCAGTTACAGCAACATTTTTTTTTTCATTCTAAGTAACTCTGTCAATAGTAAATGGTTTGTCTCAACACTACTGCTACACGCTGGACAGCTTGTTCTGTTGCACAACAGCAGACTTACTGGCTGGATCACCAAGTGAATATAAACCCTAAAAAAGAAAACTAATCTAAGAATTGGAAAAGTTCCAATATAATAAATTTTGCGCATGGGTTTAATACTGATTTAACCACTTGAGCTCCAGAGGATTTACCCCCCTTAATGACCACGCCTCTTTTTGCTACTCGGCGCTGCACTAATTCAACTGATAATTGCGCGGTCATGCAATGCTGCACCCAAATGAAATTTACGTCCTTTTTTTCACACAAATAGAGCTTTCTTTCGGTGTATTTTGATCACCTGTGCGCTTTTTATTTTTCACGCCATAAACAAAAAAAGGCCAAAAATTTTGAAGAAAAACAATATTTTTTACTTTCAGCTATAACAAATATATAGTAATTTCAAAGTTGGTTATAAATTTAGGCCAAAATGTATTCTGCTCCATGTTTTTGGTAAAAAAAAATCCCAATAAGTGTATATTGATTGCTTTGTGTGAAAGTTATAGCGTCTACAAACTATGGTATACAAACTGCAATTTACGCCATTTTTCTGCTATACAGCGCTGCGCTAGTTTAACGGACAATTGCGCGGTCATGCAATACGGTACATAAATGAAATTTATATCCTTTTTTTCCCCACAAATTGAGCTTTCTTTCTGTGGTATTTGATCGCCTGTGCGGTTTTTATTTTTTGCGCTATAAAAAAAAAGGCTGACAATTTTGAGGGAAAAAAAACGATATTTTGGACTTTATGCTATAAAACATGTCCAGTAAAAAAAATGCAAAAATCAAATTTAGTCATAAATTTCTGCCAAAATGCATTCTGCGACATGTCTTTGCTAAAAAAAAAAACCCAATACGTGTAAATTAATTGGTTTACGTGAAAGTTATAGCGTTTACAAAAGGCAGGAAAGATACGGGGATGTTTAATTTTTTTTATACTAATAATGGTGGCGATCAGCGACTTATGGTGGGACTGCGGTGGACATTTTGACACTGGGGGGGAACTGACTTGAGGTCACTGACATCCCCAGTGACACCAATACAGTGATCAGTGAAAAAAAAACCCCACTGACACTGTACTGTCACTGGGGAGGAAGGGGTTAACATATTTAGTGTTTACTGTGTGAGGGGAGTGTTTTACTAGGGGGCGGGGGTATACTGGAGGGGGGGGGGGAGGGAGGTGGGAGCTGATCGAGGGAGAGAAACTCTTCTCTCACTCTTCAGCTTGTCTGGGAACTGTCACAGAGCAGGGCTGTGTGTAAACAATGCAGCCCTGCTCTGTGTCAGCGATCACCGCTCATCAAGTGAAAACGGCCGATAATAACCGGCCGTGACCCGGCAGCGGAGACCCGCTGCTGACACCCGCGAGACAGGCAGGGCTGGCACCCCCTACCTGTTTTGCAGAACCACGTTTTAAAACGTGGTTTTGACTACGAGTGCCGCCCTGCAACCGTTTATATGCGGTGGCTGGGCGGCAAGTGGTTAACCTACTATTACCCCACCTGCTGGGTTGGCTCAAATAACATACTAACCCAACCCAGTAAATCTAGCACTGTCCTGCAGTATTCCACTGAAATCTGATGCATGCTGAGCCCTGCACTACCACCTTCTTTGCTGACAGCATCAGGAGCCAGCTGTCTCTTCTGGGTCCTTGCAGCTGGTGATGCTCCACTGCACACGTGCACTGTGTTTTACAGAGCCCCAACATCTCCTGGAATGCATGGTGTGAGTACTATTTGTTGCTCATTAAAGTGGAACTTTAGCTAAAAACAAACCCCCAAAAAATACCCCCCCCCCCCCCAAAAAAAATAAAAGTGAGCTGTACTTGGGAAGTGTATGTCTCTTCTGTCAGAGGTGCTTCTACCTACCTGTCAGTACTTTTTTCAGTGTACAGTTTCGCTACAATGCAGCTCCCATGTGCACGCTTGGGAGTTACGTCATCCAGTCCCAGTCAACCAAGCAGTTGAAGACACTAAAAGAAGACCTGGAGAGCATTGCTTTGGAGGGGATTGCTTTGGTAGGTAAGTGTGCCATAATGTGCCAATATGTTGTACATACTAGCCCATAATGGATAAACCCTTCTAGGGGACCAACATTTTTTTCCATCCATGGTTTACTTTCGCTTTCCTCTTTAAAAAAATTAAAGTGATATTAAAGTTTTTTTTTTTATAACCTAAAAAAAAAAAGATGTTATACTTACCTGCTCTGTACAAAGATATTGCACAAAGCAGCCACTTACCTCTTCTGGAGTCCCCCATTTGTGCAGTCCTCTCCTTCCTGAAGGTGCCCCCATAGCAAGTCATTTGCTATGGGGGCACCTGTGAAGGTGCACTCCCAACAGCCAGGCTGTGTGCATCCATAGACGCACACAGCATGGCTTAGTCACGCCCCTGCTCCCCCTCACAAGATCTGTCTGAGCAGCAGGAGCCTATGGCTCCGGACACTTTCAGTCTCCTGTCAGACCAAGAAAAGAAAGCAGCGGATCTGCAGACAGGGACATCTCTTTGATTGTGACAGTACTCAGGTAAGTCTTTAGGGACAGGTGTTGGAAGGTTTTTAACTTAGTGCAGATAATGCATTAGAATGTAAAAAAAAACCTTTCAGTTTAGAACCACCAAAAGATGAAGATAATTTTAGATTTTGGCAACAAAGCCTGCAACCTCAGTGCTACAGGGTGCTGCTGGGAGATGAAATATTAAACACAAAGCCAGCCTCCTGCCACTGCAAGCAGTTTTTTCATTTTCAAAGAATTTGTTGTATATCGCCTACCATGTTCTTTTTCCAGTGTCGCTTACAGGGTGGATAAAAATCAATGATTTTTTTTAAAAAAATCAAGAAAATCGGATTTTTTTTAATTTAAATCAGATTTTTTTAATTTAAATTGGATTTTTTTAAATAAAATGCTTTTTGAAGAAAATATATTACCATCCAAAGGTTATTCCATCATGAAATAAAGATTAGTTTTTTAATTATGTAGAATAAGGCTGTATATGTTTAATTTTTTTGGTAAATAAATTCCATGAATCCATTCACAATGTCATGCTCTTCCAGAGGTTTTTGTAAGATTATTGGGCAGTTTCTCTGCCTACAAGATATTATCACAGATGTTGGTTTACTTTTGCAGTTCTCAAAACTTAATTTGACTCAGCGGAGATCACATGCCTCTTCTTCACAGCAAAAATGTTATAACATGAACAGAGTTAAGAAAAAGACCTTCATCCTAACTTCTACAAACCTATGAATACAGAATCAACCCCTTCACTGCTAAGTTTAGAAAAGTTCAGTGAATAGAATAGAAACAATATTTTTCTGATTGTTTGGAGTGGAATAGATCTGCACAAGAAGAAAGTGAAACTAAGTGTGAGGAGGAAGGGCTGACAGTCTAAATTTCCTAAAATATATAGATTTTGTTTAGCCAAATTAGGTAACAAACATGGATGTTTAAGCAAATCACATATTCTGGAATGTTAATGTTTCAGATGAATAAATCTATTTAAATTGTTTATTATTAAGGTAATGATTATTTTTCTCCTTCCTAAGTACAACAGAAAAGTTGTCCAAATATGAATGATTAACCTATTAAACTGGGGATAAAAAAACTAATATGAAAAGTTGTTATTCTAAAAATCTTCATCTACTTGTATATTAAAGTTATACCAGCAAGAATTAGTCTTTATGTAGAAAACTAGGATTTACATCAATCCTTACTGACTAGTGATTTAAATCAGTTTGATTTAAATCAAATCCACCCTGGTCGCTTACCAATTTTTAATTTAACTTTACTGATAGAGCGCAGCAGATCATCAGTATCATTGTCTACCTATTGGAAATATGGTGGCATTTCAGCCACCTCACTGCTTTACACAGGATCTATTCTACATCTGTATGTAACATACCTGTATGTAACAGCTTCAGTGAAATCTCTGGCATTGAAGTCACACAGCTTGTAGCCTTCTCTTTTAAATGCTAATACAGCATTTGGGCCGAGCCAAACATTTCCATCCATCCGTGGTGTGAAATGGACGCCGAGGAAGGGAAACCGAGGGTCAGGAACCTAGAGCCCAATGGAGAGAGACATATAAACACCTTTTATGTATTACACACCAAAGATATTATAAAAGTCTTGGTACAGTTAGTGTTTAAAGCTAAACTCCCGGGCATGAAAAATGTTAGTGTAGCTGCATGTGTAACGTAGCATACAGGTACCACCCTACATTCAACTCCATTGTAAGGGAAAGGATAGACAGGCATAATAGGAGACAGGGTACTATGATTAAGCCCAATGTGGGTGAAACATGTCAGAGGGGCGTGACCGAATCCCCGGCGGGGATTTCAGCTGAAGCCCATCTTTCATTTACCCTACAGGTACCCACCACACACTGTATTCAACTCCAGTGTAGGGTAAATGAAAGACTCAAATCCCACGCCCATTGGTCACGCCCCTCTGACACGATGCCATATATTTTCTAAAAGCAGACACCCTAGACCAGTGTTTCTCAAACTTTTTTCAGTCAAGGCACCTTTTAAAATTATGGACAGTCTTGAGGCACCCCGTTCTAAAATGTGAAAAACTATTCTAATAGTTTTATATAGCGCAGCAACATCCACACATGTAGGACACCCAACATTTAGAGGTGATCTATTCTTCCAAAGCAAATACACTTTTGCACACTGGTACTGACTAGTACTCCAATGTTTCTCTTCTCCCTCAGTTTAACTCCATCACTGAGCTAATGTGACCCCAGCACTGATGGGGAAGGGCAGGAGAGAGTCAAACTAGGATGCTGTGCAGGCAACCAACATCCTTCTTATCAACTGATGACGTCATTGGTTGTCAGGATGCAGGATGCCAGCGGCTAGAAGGTCGTAATGGTGCACAATGAAAGCCTGTGGCTTTGTGTAACTAAAAGGCAGGATTGTTGCACCCGCTGACTCGTATACAAGTTTTGGGCAATTTTTTAGACATTTTGCCAAGGCACCCCTGAAGAAACCTCAAGGCACCCTGGTTGAGAATGGCTGCCTTAGATAATAAAATATTGGTAGTACCATTTTTATGTCAAGCAATATTAGAGCAATGGTTTAGGAAACAAAAAACTTCAGTAAAAAAATACACTACATTAATTTTAAGGCACACAAATGTAATATATTACCATAATTTTTGGTAAAATATAAAAGATGAGGCTGCAGCAGTTACCGGACTGTGTGAAAGTGAATTTAAATCAGTCGGATTGTCAGATTTACATGCACACCTCTGCCATCCCGGTAGTGTGTATAAACAGCTCCCTACCAGGCCCTTCCACTACAGAAACAGATCTTATTTTTAATTGAAACACAAATGATGCAGCGCTACTACCATAAATATTCTTCACACATAAATGAATAAGTGAAACAGTGCAAAATTAGTGACACAAATAACAAACACACAATATTAAATAGTGCCAAAAAACACATAAATAATCACGTGTGACAAGTGTCAATACGAGGTCCTAAAAGGACCAAATAACATAAATGGTGCCCCAAGTAATCCAATGGGATCCAATAGTGCACCAAATCAAACAAGTAAGTCACAACAGGACTCAATGTGCTAAAAAAAAACCTCCCACCATATAACACAAAACACACGTGCATCCCAATAAACGCATAAACTAAGAACTGATCATGCAAACAAACATGAATAAATGAATGAATATATAAAGTCCCGTGAGGTGTAAAACACCTGACAATATACAAAAAACATATATAAAGTCCACAGCAATTCTTGAAGAAGAAAAAAAAAAAAAAAAAGTGGTGATAAATGTGCACATATCCAAAAATGGCTGAATTGCCCGCTCACCACCTCCCTCTTGCGACCCGCACAGGGTGAAAAAGGCCTTCAGGATCACTAACACATGGACCCTTGATAGTAGGTAATCCTCCACAGCTCTCCACACTTTTTTTTTTTTTTTTCTTCTTCAAGAATTGCTGTGGACTTTATATATGGTTTTTTGTATATTGTCAGGTGTTTTACACCTCACGTGACTTTATATATTCATTCATTTATTCATGTTTGTTTGCATGATCAGTTCTTAGTTTATGCGTTTATTGGGATGCACGTGTGTTTTGTGTTATATGGTGGGAACTGGTTTTTAGTTCTGGTGGGAGGTTTTTTTTAGCACATTGAGTCCTGTTGTGACTTACTTGTTTGATTTGGAGCACTATTGGATCCCATTGGATTACTTGGGGCACCATTTATGTTATTTGGTCCTTTTAGGACCTCGTATTGACACTTGTCACACGTGATTATTTATGAGTTTTTTGGCACTATTTATTATTGTGTGTTTATGTTATTTGTGTCACTAATTTTCCACTGTTTCACTTATTCATTTATGTGTGAAGAATTTTTATGGTAGTAGCGCTGCATCATTTGTGTTTCATTTATATTTTTTGTCTATGGGTATATGACTGTATGTAGCAGCTTTACCTTTGTTGATAGGTATTACCGTATTTTTCGCTCCATAAGACGCACTTTTTTCCCCCCAAAAAAGGGGGGAAAATGTCAGTGCGTCTTATGGAGCGAATATGGAGCGGCCGGTCCGGTATTTCCACCGCGGGCCGTGTCAGAATACCGGGCCGGCCGCTCAGCTCTGCAGCGGGACCTTATGGAGATGACTGCTGACCTTTGGGGAGCGGGTACCTGAATTTGACAGTTACCCGCTCTTACTTCTTTGATCTTACCTGTTCCTCTATCCAGCGGCCCGCTGTCTTCCGGCTTCTGTAGTGTGGGCACTGGGCATGACAGCCAGGTGCCAAGTGCGCATGCGCAAGAAGCGGTGCTTTTTGTGAATGGTAAGGCGGTACCTGGGACACATGACAGATCCCAGAAGCCGCCGGACCAATCACAAAGCGCAAGTGCTTCTCGCTCATGCGCACTGGGCACCCGGCTGTCATACCGAGCGCCATTACAGAAGCCAGGAAGACAGCGCGCGGCTGGATCGAGTGAACAGGTAAGATCAAACAAAAAAGTCTGCGGAAGTAAGAGCGGGTACCTGTCAAATTCAGGTACCCGCTCCCCACCTCCCCAAAGGTCAGCAGTCATCTGTGCTGTCCGCAGTCTCTGGTCATCCCTGTGCTGTCCGCAGTCTCTGGTCATCCCTGTGCTGTCCGCAGTCTCTGGTCATCCCTGTGCTGTCCGCAGTCTCTGGTCATCCCTGTGCTGTCCGCAGTCTCTGGTCATCCCTGTGCTGTCCGCAGTCTCTGGTCATCCCTGTGCTGTCCGCAGTCTCTGGTCATCCCTGTGCTGTCCGCAGTCTCTGGTCATCCCTGTGCTGTCCGCAGTCTCTGGTCATCCCTGTGCTGTCCGCAGTCTCTGGTCATCCCTGTGCTGTCCGCAGTCTCTGGTCATCCCTGTGCTGTCCGCAGTCTCTGGTCATCCCTGTGCTGTCCGCAGTCTCTGGTCATCCCTGTGCTGTCCGCAGTCTCTGGTCATCCCTGTGCTGTCCGCAGTCTCTGGTCATCCCTGTGCTGTCCGCAGTCTCTGGTCATCTCCTGTACTGTGTCTGCAGTCCATTAGTTCAGAATTTTTTTTTTTCCTGTTTTCTGCCTCTAAAACCTAGGTGCGTCTTATGGTCAGGTGCGTCTTATGGAGCGAAAAATACGGTAGTTTTTAGGTAGGAGCGCAGGAGTTTGTCACATTGATTCAGATCTTATTTTTAAATTTACCCAGGCAATTATTTTTTAACCAGGAGGAAATTAGAAAAAAGTAATGATTTAAAATTGATACTTACTGGGTAAATGTTCCCTTTCACGAGATAGCATTTCTCTGGCTTCAGAACCAAGTAATCCCCACGGAAGGGAACAATGCGTGGTTCTGGGCTGCACCCGCTAATCTGGGACAGGCGGTCTGAAAACAGGCCACCACACGTCAACACGTATTTACAATAAACTTCTTCCCCCTATAGGAAAAGGATACATCTTATGTAAAATGACTCTTTATTCTCACTTACGGCAATAAAGATTCAAAAGGCATTTGCATTAGGTAGAATCTTAGGGCTAATAAAGGCGATTTGCTCTGGGCAGGGGGTGACTGATCATACGATTCAAAAGAATGTACAGATGAATTTGAATCTAAAGAAAAGGCTTTTCTACAGTTTCCAAAAGGTAAAACTGCATAGTACTGTAACCTATTAATAAACATGTTTCTGAAACTAGGAGGGCTGATGATATGCAAATGCAATCTTCCAACACCAAATACCCAAAATACTTTTATGTTTGTTCCCCACAGCAGGAAATCCGACACAGCAAAGACATGGGAAGCTGCCATTTTTGCCCCAATGTAAACATTTTATGCTGACAACCTGGCTTCTATACTCAGTCACTGACCTAGAACAAGTATGCAAATGTGAAAAATCCACGTAAAATAAGAAGTCCTTATCTGAATACTTGTTTCAGGTCTTTGAAGGTATTAAAGTTGGTGTATAAGCATAACAGCCAGGCAACTAGCATTTTTAGAGAAGGCTGGTAATAGCAGCCCATGTGTTTCTACTGTGAGACAGGTTTAATTTCAGATCTGGATTGGCAATGAACCAAAAATATCAGGACCTGCTGTAGGATTGCATCATCATGACCAACACATGATGGTTCCAATAGGACAAAAGTACTAACTCTCCAGCGCCTTGGAGGGGCCAATACCAGGGAGAGGCCAGGGAATCAGGTATATGAATGACCTATGGATAAAGTCCCGGAGATGCAGCCCTCCTCAGATGGGGAGATCAATGAACTGGAAAAAAGCACACAAGTGGCCCAAACGCCTAGCCCAGGGCTTTAGCTCTGAGGAAAAGAATACGTCCCAGAAACGCATCAGCAGGCCAACCACACCACAACGTGGACACTCTGCCATCATTTCAGCCATCTCTGTGGCCTTACAGGCTTTTTATGCGCTAAGCTTTTGAGTATGTTTTTTGTCTTTTTAAACATTTTAATAAACCTTGGATAGTGCGCCACCTGTATGCTTTTTTCTAAAAAGTTCCAATAATGGGGGTCATAGATGGGTCGAAAATCGGCCGATTTTCGAATCGTTAGTGGGCTATTTGTTCAGCCGTTTTTCGGTATTTTGGCAGATTTTTTTTTTTCGGTAAAGTTGGAAAAAAAATCGGACGATTTTGCCGATTGGCCGATTTTCACGGCAATGATGGGCAAATCGGCCGATTTTTTACCGATAAAAAAATCTGCGCATGAGCAGTGACCTGCAAGAGGAAGACAAAAAGAAGAAAAAGAGGAAGAGGATGAAGAAGAGGAAGAAGAAGAGGATGATGATGAAGAAGAAGAAGAATGAAGAAGAGAGGAAGAAGAAGAGGATGATGATGAAGAAGAAGAAGAAGAGGAAGAAGAGGATGATGATGAAGAAGAAGAAGAGGATGAAAAAAGATGAAAAAAGAAGAGGATGAAAAAGAAGAGGATGAAAAAGAAGAGGATGAAAAAGAAGAGGATGAAAAAGAAGAGGATGAAAAAGAAGAAGAAGAAGAGGAGGATGATGATGATGAAGAAGAAGAAGAGGATGAAGAAGAAGAAGAAGAAGAAGAAGAAGAGGAGGATGATGATGAAGAAGAGGATGAAGAAGAAGAGGATGAAGAAGAGGATGATGATGAAGAAGAAGAAGAGGAGGAGGATGATGAAGAAGAAGAGGATGAAGAAGAGGAAGAAGAAGAGGAAGTAGAAGAAGAGGATGATGATGATGAAGAAGAAGAGGATGAAGAAGAAGAGGATGAAGAAGAAGAAAAAGAAGAAGAAGAGGAAGAAGAATAAGAGTTTGAAGAAGGAGGATGAAGAAGAGGATGAAGAAAAGGATGAAGAAGAAGAAAAGGATGAAGAAGAAGAAGAAGAAGAAGAGGAAGAAGAGGATGAAAAATAAGAGGAATTCCAGTCCGGCAAAAAGTGTCCCTGCAGAGAGCTCCGCTATTTCTTTGACAGTTCCTTGACATTTATAGCGGTTGCAACAATGTATCTATTTGTTTCTGAATAAAACCATCTGTATCCTAAATGGATACAAATAGATACATTGTTGCAACCGCTGTAAATGTCAAAGAACTGTCAAAGAAATAGCGGAGCTCTCTGCAGGGACACTTTTTGCCGGCTGTAGATGGGATGAAAATCGGCAGATTTTTTTTACCATTGCTGGTAATGTCGGCCGCTTGAACGACCGATTTTTCGTTTTTTTAAAGAAAAAATCGGCCGTTTTTCTCCCCGTCTATGGCCTGCATTAGTTCATGGGACTTCAGGTTTTTCACTTAGTTCCTGAATCAAACCCGTTCAGCTATGGCATGCTGAAAAGAAGGAGTGGTCACACACAGGTCATATTACTTTGAATTCTTCCTCATACATTTAACTGTTATAGATGCATGGGAACACTAAAAACTGTTTTGCACAGAAAAGGATGTATTTCTGAAATTATATTGGATGTCATGTGGTCAGTTTAGGGCCCCTTTCACAACGTCATGCTGCAGTTTGGCAGCAGCGCAATTTACCTGCAGTTATCATAAGCTTTCCCATTGACTTATTATGTCCTGCGTTTTTGCTTTGTTTTCTGAAAGCGCACCAAAGATGCAGCATATGCAGGACTTTTGGTGCGCTGAAACCGCAACAAAAATGCACGATGTAATAGAAGTCAATGGGAAAGTACAAGTAACCTGCACATCTGTAACAGCAAGGCAGTGTGAAAGCGCCCCAAGATGTGATTTGTGCTTAGCAGAGTGAAAATTAAATGTTTAAATAAGTGAAATACAACAGTTTGGTAAAAAAAGATAAAACATATTACATTACCTTTGTGTTTCTAAGCATGACCGGGTACTCCATGCCTAAAAGAAGAATAAAAAGAGAATAGCATCTCCCCGTACGATCTGTCAGATTTTAAAAAACAGCGTGGCCATGTGGGGCTCCTTCCACACGGCCACGTCATTCATTCACGGACTTCCGTCTTAGTGGCTTAGTGGCTGTCAGCTTGTAGTTTTCAATGAACTACTGCGTGCTGTGTTGGTTCATTGACGCTTCCTGTCAGTAAATCTGCTTGCTTGCGTGCAGGGGCGGACTGACCATTTGGAAACTCAGGCGCTGCCCGAGGGCCCGGGGTCAGTAGGGGGCCCCATGAGATGCCCCTGGTACCTTTTTCATAGGCTTTTTTGAGTTTGGGCAAGGACACAGGGGCCCCATGGTCCCATATTGCCCGGGGGGCCCCATGAGTTGTCAGTCCGCCCCTGCTTGCGTGTATGTCCCGTATGGCCAAGCAGATAGGAGACCTGCATGGCCTCAGCGATCTACTGATAGCTGGTGCAATGCTTTCCAGACTCCTGCGGACAAAAATAATAAATGCACATTTTTTGTACCTGCAAAAGAATGTGCATTTATTATTTTTGTCTAAAAGGTGAACTTATCCTTTAAATAAAAAAATAAAAAAAACACAAATTCCTTAAAGAGACCCTGTTAGAACTCTAATTGCCCATTCATACGGCTCGAGGATACACAGCTGTTGCTTGGGCATCCCAGTGCTGGCATCCTCTTAATTTCTTTTGGGACACAGGGTTGCACAGGCACATCCAGTGTCCTAATATAACATTAGTGGATGTGGGTGCAAGTCCCCAAACGCAAGCTGTAACATATTTACACCTGCATACATCGGCATGTTATATTAGGACACAGCAGCTGTGTCCATGCACCCACAAGTCCCAATAGAAATGAATGGGATGCCAAAATGGGGATGCACATAACAGCTGTGTATCCCCATGCTGTAGAAGACGGCCCTGTATGGATGGGAGATGCATGTCTGTGCCATGTTAATGGAGCTGAAATGAATGAAAAGGCCAGACAGAACAGGCAGTATATTCACTTTCCCATCAGCCCATGGTTCCTACCCTTCCTCTATTCCAGAGCTGCAAATTCTAGTCTGTGATATTCAACACTTCCAAGAGAGTTGGATGGCCCTATCCCAGGCCGTATCCTTGTTGCTTCCTTTCCCCCCCCACATCAGTGATGTAGGGCTTAGAGAAGAAACCACAGCCAGAGGCAGGAGACACAGGCATTGGACCAGGGGCGGACTGACAACTCATGGGGCCCCCGGGCAATAAGGGATCCTGGGGCCCCTGTGTCCTTGCTGAAACTCAAAAAAGCCTATGAAAAAGGTACCAGGGGCATCTCATGGGGCCCCCTACTGACCCCGGGCCCTCGGGCAGTGCCTGAGTTTCCAAATGGTCAGTCCACCCCTGCATTGGACACTCCGGGAAGTGCTGAATGCCAAAGACACCAAAGAAGTCTGCAGTACTGGAATAGAAGGAAAGTGGACATCATGGATTTGTTTTGTTTTTTTTAAATAAGAGTGTCAGCAGAAAAACTGCGTGATCCCATCTGTGTGAGAGTACTGGAAGGCGAACTGCGCCATTCCTCCATCACCACCTACAAACTAGAAGAAAAAAAAAAAAAAAAACGACAATTCTGGAGAGTTTAATGAAGGGAGAAGATTACTGTAAATCGTATGCTCAAAACGGAAGAAGTAGAGGGTACACTGGTAGAAATCAAGTGTGCATTATTTTTGAGGTTGCACTGGAAACATGAAAGCTGCAATCAGAACGGCTTTTAGCAACACCTCCAACATTCCATCATTCACTGGCCCACAAGAGCCAAAGACTTAAGCAGCTTGTACACAGCAACTCACCTTGCTCGGATCCTGCTGGGCTTTCAGGGACCATTTTTATATCAGACACTTCAAAACTTGTCAGCACACTCCCTCCAGCGTCATGGAAATCGTCTGTGTATGCCTGGCATACCTGTTTATAATCCACAATACCGGTACGTGGAGAGTCCAGTGCCATCACCCCCTGCAAGACAAGTGCAAATATAGGCGAAGAAGTGCACCTTAAGAATGACAAGCTTGGTATATTGTGGTTTTGCTTGAATAGAAGATTTTACCTGTGTGTGGCACTGCAGTCATTTTTTCTATTCCTCTTCTCAAGAAGCCCCAAAGCTACAAGGATTAGCAGGCTTCTTTCTATATTTCTCTTTTAAAGGGAGTTCCATTTTCAGAAAACAAATATCATTGGTGGGGATGAAAACCTGAAAGCACTTATATCCATCTTTTAGCATCCGATTCTGTCTTCACTATTACGCTGACCACAGTCACCCAGACAGAAAGGGGTTTATTTACTAAAGCTGGAGAGTCCAAAATCAGACTCCCTTCTGCATAGAAACCAATCAGCTTCTAACCTCAGCTTGTTCAATGAAGCTTTGGCAATGAAACCTGGAAGCTGATTGGTTTCTATGCAGAAGTGAGTCTGATTTTGCACTCTCCAGCTTTAGTAAATATACCCCAAAGTGACAGGGAATTCCAACATTTTACAGTTGTTACCAACACAGGAGAAAAAGGCAAATTCTCCATTTGCAATTTCCCCCTGCTTTGAAATTATGTCTACCCATTGTTGAGACTTCTCCTCACTTCCTGACCCTGTGTCCCCATTGTTGAGACTTCTTCTCACTTCCTGTTCCTGATGCACAACAAGAAGTGAGGAGAAGTCTCAACAATGGGGACGCAGGGACAGAAAGTGAGAAGTCTCAACAATGGGGACACAGAATTATGAAAACATGAGAGGTTCTAACCCCTCCCCACTCTATACAAAACATAAAGCAGAACTTCACCTAAAAAGGGAAGTTCCACTTTATGACTTTATGTTCACCTTCCCCCTTTCTCTAATAGTTTTGAAACTGTTGGGGAGGGGGGGGGGGTTAGCAGGTACCTAGTTTTGTCAGGTACCAGCTCCCAAGTTTTGTCAGGTACCAGCTCCCACTTCTGCTGGAATCACCTAGTCAAAGACACCCAAAGATCTCTCGGGTCCATTCACGCATGAGGAGTGTGAAGTCCCAAAGACCGGCAAGGAAACAGCTTAGGTGAGGACAGTGCTGGATCCCTGGACAGGTAAGTGTCCATATATGAAAAGTCTGCAGCTACTGTATTTGCCGCTGTTGACATTTTTTTTTAATGAGTGAAGAACCTCTCTAAATATAACATTTTAAACCACCCACTATTTTCAGTGGTGGAAAAAGGAAAGAAGGAAAACTTTTCTACAGTAGGTGACAGAACTGATGTTCTGCCAGTTATTACTACTTATTCGTTTAAGGGCTCTTTTTGCCTGTTTCTTGCCATTTTACCACCATATTTATGTGTCTGGTACCTCTGGGAATTTCTGCTTGTTTTTTGACATGCATTGCCCTTACATGTGCTCCTGCAAAGGCTAGTTATAGTTTGGGGTGGCTGCCATTTGTTTGTACAGTTGGTGAATTGGAGCAGGAAAACACTGGATACCTTCAGCTGCCATTGTTCTTTTACTGGGTGTCAAGGGCGTCCCTGTACCTTTAGGGAGGGGTGGGCTTTCTCCAAGCATACCTGCCCTAAATCTATCTATTACTATATATGTGCTCCAACTTCAGAGACTCTCAAAATTATAGAATTAGGACTGCTGTACAATGGGATGCCGTGACATGGCCACTGCAGCTTATTCATACACTTGCAAATGTGTGCAAACTAAACCCCTTGGTTTTAATGTGAACTGTTCCATCGGGGCAACTCAGTTTGTTGCAGGCTAGCTAGTAAGTGAGCTGGGATTATTGGTTGTTTTTTGACATGCTTTCTCCTTGCATGTGCGTTCCTTGCTGCAAAGGCTAGTCATAGGTTGAGGTGGCTGCCATTTGTTTGTATCTCCGATTCTCTCTCTGGAGCTTTACAAAATGACATGAAACTTTGAGAGACTGTAACTTTGCCCATTCAGATTGTAGCGACAGTATCTGTGGAAAGGCTCCACCCCGGACCTACAGCTACTCACCTCCTGTATCTCTACCTTATCAGGCAGAAAATACTTTGTGAATGGGTATGTAGTGCTAGAGAACAGATAATAAACACGGGACTGTTTATGATATGAAGTACCAATACAGCAGTTCATATAATAGTTCATATATTCCAGCCACAAATACACAAAATATGAGCATTGTAAGATGTTAGGGGATCCACCCTATTGACGCCTTTGCTACTAGGGATCCACTAGCCACCAGGGAACTACCTCACCTGACCTGGATGAGTATATTTCTAATAATACTCACTATACTCTATGGCTTTGTACTTGTGATACCACTGGCCACCAGGGTCCTATCTATTGGACTTTGATCTGTATGCGTTGCATGTTGAGTGAACCACTGACCATCAGGGAGCTGATTTATGTGGGCCTGGATTTATATTATATCAATGTGAGTCCTGGTTGCTTGGTTTTTGTCTTGTGTTCTTAAATAAACGTACTTTACTATTAGCGCTTTCTTGCCTCCCGGCTCGTTTGTAATGAGCTTATGCAAGGTGGCGTTTTGGATTTGAAAGCCTGAAGGGGCCTGGATAGCGTTGTACCTGTGACCCGGATGTCCATATATGACCAGATGGTGCCCAGGCTGTTGACCAGACCATGATGCCCGGTTGCTGTTAATTACATACAATGCTCATATTGTGTGTATTTGTGGCTGGAATATATGAACTATTATATGAACTGCTGTATTGGTACTTCATATCATAAACAGTCCCGTGTTTATTATCTGTTCTCTAGCGCTACATACCCCATTCATAGTTTATGTTCCAAGGTATTGAGGATTACCCTGTATGTTAGCTGCTTACCTGATCTGTTTGCGCTCACTTACCCACCTTTGAAAATACTTTGTGTTTTCAAGTATGGGGGAGTATCTGACCTCCTCCCATGTGACAGTGCTTGGTTCTAGGCATGCATACTGTCACATAGGGGTGGACATTATCACTTGCTCTAGGCTCCATTACCAGCCGACAGGGCATTTTGGTGCTGGCAGTGATGGAGGAAGGAGCTGCAGGCAATCACTGGGTAGAGGTATCAGTAGGCTGATGGGTGAGTGACAGTGTCTCTTTAGGAGCCGACAATGCAAAGTCAGAATTTGCTTTATGTAGATCCCCACATATTTCAGCTTCTGTATAGGCAAAGAGTTGTCAACGATTGGTGGCTTGGGAGCACTTACCCGGCAATAGGGCTCTTTCTCCCTGATCTGCTTTGCGTTGATGATTTGTAGACCTGGCACATTGTTCTGCAGGCCTCTTTCATACAAAGCTTGTAGTCTAGGGATTTCCTGGTGTTGTACGGCCACTATCAGCTGAAGAAACAGAACATACATACTTAATGTGGAGTTCCAGTCACATTGTAAAAAAATAAAGTCAGCAGCTACAAGATGCTGGTCCGGTATTCCCAGCGCCGGCATCTTCAGTGTTGGCAGCCGGCTGTGACAGCTTGCGACCCCACAGCCGGGTGCCCCCTGCGCATGAACAAGTAGCGCTGTGCTTCCTGAATGGTCCCGTAGTCTTCTGGGACCTGTGACCTGTCCCAGAAGACAATGGCGCGGGAGGGGGAGCTAGGGGGTACAACAACTTCTGCTTCCGATCGTCTAGGCGAACACAGCTCTACTTTAGTTCTACTTTAAAACTCCAAACTTTCTGGAATAATCAATAGCTAACATGGCACAGTACTCTACTACTTTTCTATGTGTAACAGTAGTTGTACATTCTGTCTCATCTCCACGCACCTATCACTACACCTCTGATAAATGTTACTATACCTTCCCACACTTCTTGTAGGGGATTCCCTTGCTGTCGCAGTAGTCGTAGAGAAGAGAGGCCCCTCTGACACACAGTTTGGCTTTCAGGGACCCTGGTGTGTAATAGATTCCACTATGTATGACTCCGCTGTTATGTCCACTTTGGTGAGTCGCTGAGGAAACAAACAATATGCTATACATAAGTGTGGATGACAAAAGTAATACATATACAGTGGGGATCGAAAGTTTGGGCACCCCAGCTAAAAATTTGTATTAATGTGCATAAAGAAGCCAAGGAAAGATGGAAAAATCTCCAAAAGGCATCAAATTACAGATTAGACATTCTTATAATATGTCAACAAAAGTTAGATTTTATTTCCATCATTTACACTTTCAAAATAACAGAAAAACAAAAAATGGCGTCTGCAAAAGTTTGGGCACCCTGCAGAGTTAATATCTTGTACTGCCCCCTTTGGCAAGTATCACAGCTTGTAAACGCTTTTTGTAGCCAGCCAAGAGTCTTTCAATTCTTGTTTGAGGTATCTTTGCCCATTCTTCCTTACAAAAGTCTTCCAGTTCTTTGAGATTTCTGGGCTGTCTGTCACGCACTGCTCTTTTAAGGTCTATCCATAGATTTTCAATTATGTTGAGGTCAGGAGATTGTGAAGGCCATGGCAAAACCTTCAGTTTACGCCTCTTGATGTAATCCCCCGTGGATTTTGAGGTGTGTTTAGGATCATTATCCATTTGTAGAAGCCATCTTCTCTTTAACTTCAGCTTTTTCACAGATGGCATCAAGTTACCATCCAAAATTTGCTGAAATTTTATTGAATCCATTTTTCCTTCTACTCGTGAGATGTTCCCTGTGCCCCTGGCTGCAACACAACCCCAAAGCATGATTGATCCAACCCCATGCTTAACAGTTGGACAGAGGTTAATTTTCATTAAATTCTGTGCCCCTTCTTCTCCAAACGTACCTTTGCTCATTCCGGCCAAAAAGTTCAATTTTAACCTCATCGGTCCACAGAACTTGTTTCCAAAATGCATCAGGCTTGTCTATATGTTCATTTGCAAAGTTCAAACGATGATTTTTGTGGTGAGGACATAGAAGAGGTTTTCTTCTGATGACTCTTCCATGAAGACCATATTTGTACAAGTATCTCTTTATAGTGGAATAGTGTACCACAACTCCAGTGTCTGCCAGATCTTTCTGGAGGGATCGTGCAGTCAAACGTGGGTTTTGAATTGTTTTTCTCACAATCCTGCGAGCTGTTCTGTCTGATATTTTTCTTGGTCTTCCAGATCTTGCTTTAACTTCCACTGTTCCTGATGACTGCCATTTCTTAATTACCATTCCGAACAGAGGATATTGACATCTGAAAACGCTTTGCTATCTTCTTATAGCCTTCTCCAGCTTTGTGAGCGTCAACTATTTTCAGTTTCAGTTTTCTAGACAACTGCTTAGAAGAACCCATGGTGCTGATTGTTGGGGCAAGGTCAGATGAGTCTGGGCATTTAAAACCTTTGAGATTGACATCACCTGGTCTTCCCAGACGATGATTGAGAACAATCCATGACACTGGCAGGTCTCAGCTTTGCAAAAGGGGGCAGTGCATGCTATAAATTCTGCAGGGTGCCCAAACATTTCCAGACGCCATTTTTTTGTTTTCTGTTATTTTTTTGAAAGTGTAAATGATGGAAATAAAATCTAACTTTTGTTGACATATTATAAGAATGTTTAATCTGTAATTTGATGCATTTTGGAGATTTTTCCATCTTTCCCTTGGCTTCTTTATGCACATTAATACAAATTTTTAGCTGGGGTGCCCAAACTTTCGATCCCCACTGTATATCACTCAAGTTCAGCTGCATAAAAAAAAAAAAAAAAAAAAAAAAGGGAACCATATTCTGCCTCTGAAATCAGTAAGCATAACCACCTCCAATCTATAAATGAGCAAAAAAAAGAAAGTACATTTAAAGGGATGCCAGAACTGACTGCCTTATAAAAGAACAGTCCTGGGTGCGTCCAATCCTCACTCCACAAGATTGGCACTCACCTTCTCATAAGCACCTCAACTAATGTACTTTAGTCAGGTCAAGCATGCGTGTAGCCCTCATGGGTTAATAATCCACCAGGCTCTTGTTGTATTACACACTTTGGCCCCATTCACACCTGAGCGATTTGTAGCTGGAAGCTCCAAAACGCTTCAGGAAAAAAAAATCAATTATTCTAAATGGAGATGGTTCACATCTTCACTACAAGTCGCCTGAAGCTCAAACAAGTTCTGGAGCTTTTTGAGCATTTTTTGAGCATCTATAATTGCACAGAAATTAATGGAAACACGTGATTTGATTTTTCATGCATTTTGTCACTCGTTTTTGGAGCATGTTTCTGCCCAAATGAAAAAGAAAAATAATAATACATGAATAAATAAATGTTAAATAAATATGCAAATAAAAATAATCATAAATACAATAAATAATATGTAACAATAAATAATAAGTAGCCCCTAACCTTAACCCCCTAACCACAAAAATTAAATTAAGAATAACAATAAAATAATGGCTAAACAGTTAGCACTTCCACCTGACAGTACTAGGGTCACTGGTTCGAATCCCAACCACAGCACCACCTGCCTGGAGTTTGCATGCTCTCCCTGTGTGGTTTTCCCCCCAGTTTCCTACCACACTCCAAAAGACATGCCGGTAGGTTCATTGGATCCTGTCTGAATCGGCCATAGTATGTGTATGTATGAATGTAAGTTAGGGACTTTAGACTGTACACCCCTCTTAAGAGGCTGATTTGAATGTAGAATACGTACGTAAATTGAAGGCGCTATATAAGTACCTGAAATAAATTAAATAAATTTAAAAATAAAATAAATAAACACCCTAACAAAAAAATACATTATTAACAATAATAATCATAACAATAAATTGACACCCTAACAAAAAATAAATATTAAGAAGACAATAAATAAAATATTAACCCCTAATCCTAACCTTCTAACCCCTTACCGTAACAAAAAAAAAAATAAAATAAATTAATAATAATAAAAAAAAAAACTAAAAGCTGATGGAAAAAGCTAAAGAAGCTGAAAAACCTAGCAACAAATGATGAAACAGATTATATTTTTCCCTATTGGCCATTTAAAAAAAAATGTCAAAAGCGCTTTAAAAGCACTGTACAAATACGTGTGCTAAAACGCCCCCCAAAAACGCTCAAAAACACAAAGCTCAGGTGTAAATGCAGCCTTAGAGGACTCCCAATATCATCAGGAAGAAAACCACAAGGTGGCTTTTAGTGTAAAACTATTATATATATCGTTATTACAAAAGGATAAAAACACAAAAAAAAAAAAATGGTGTACATGTAGGGGTTGATTTACTAAAGGCAAATAAGACTTTGAAAGGGAATTTTCTCCAGAGCTGCTCCGCTGACTACCATCATCCCCTCCCTCCTAGATTGTAAGCTCCAAAGAGCAGGGCCCTCGATCCCCTCATGTTTTGTATTGTATTGGTATTGTTCTGTCACATGTTCTGTCCCCCTTTGTAATGTACAGCGCTGAGCGAACTATTGGCGCTTTATAAATACTGTATAATAATAATAATAATAATGTGCAAACAAAAATACTGTTTTTATTTATTTATTTTATTTCCTTGCACGAAATTGGGAATTCTTTGCAGCATGAAATTTCACCGCACTCACTAAGCTCTGGGAAAAAATCCAATGCAAATGGCAACTTCTCTTGCAAAGTGCACAGCCTATTTGCAAACCCATATAGGGGTGCATGCTTGTTCCTATAGACATGAAGGGGCCAGCTGACTTCACGACGCAGCGCGGAGTCAGAGTATAGGAAAACGGAGGACGTGTATTTTTGCGGTTATGTGGTATGTATCTGGTGAGATTTAGCACCAAAAGCATGTGTGTGGCATTTTTTACCTTTTTAATAAAGTGTTTAAACGATGAAGCTCTATTTCTGCATATTCCATTTTTTACAGATCGCTGGGGAGAGGAGGACAAGATTCAAAGCCTGTTGTGGGAAGGAGTGCTGACAGGGGAACCTGCATGTTATTTTGTCCCATTTAGAGGACACAAACGTGGTGTGACCAAAACATTGTATAATAAGAGGTCAAAAAGCTCCAGGTGAGAGCACAACTTGGGTGTTGGTGAAGGAACACGGTTCTATGTCATAGGAAGATAGAATATTGAAAGATTAACCTCCCTAGCGGTCTGATTATGTCAGTATTTCTGTGCTCCAAGCGGTACGTTGTTTTCAATGGAAATATGTCGTTTTTTTTTATTGTAGGCTGTAATTCTTAGGAATAACTCACTAAAATCTGTCCGAACAAGAGTCTAACAAACATCCCGGGGATGATAAAATTTGAAACACAAAATCTTAAATTATAATTTAATAAATAATCATAAAAATAATAATAATAAATTGAAATCAATAATGTAATCAAACCAAAAACACTGAAATTTTAAATACAGCGCCAAGTTCGCACATCACTGATCTTAGTCGCAAAATCGTTTTCAGTGTCTGATGACGAATTTCCCCCACGAATCATTATCACTCAATTCTGCAAGTGGTTCTGATTTACTATCGCTGTTCTCTAGCCGGTCTAAAACCGCTTTTGACCTAAAGGGACGCTTTTTGGACGCCATGGACGTTTCTCAGTTTCCAGGCAGAAAGAACAGTAATAATGCAGGCAGGGCGCCGGACAAAGCACTCGGGACAAAATGTATGTGAAATGGTTTGATACAGGAATGTTATACTATGTGATTTTAGTGTATTGAGTGAATGTCAAGTTTTTATATTTTTGAATTTCCTGCCGGTTTCGTCCCCCGTACGTCCCGACGCTCGCAGGGAACGGAAAACGGATAGCGGTGTCACTGATGGGAGACTGAAATGACAAGGTTGGCCTCACTTGTGTCACTAGCCCTGACCCCCACTGGAGTTGGGACAGAAGGAGTCTAGGACCCAGGGGAACAAGAGCGCCACTAGTTGTTGTTTGCAGCTCTTGCAGATGACGACCTTGGAAGACCGATGATCTTCTGATCCAGGCACAGTAGTAACAAGCAGAGCAGGTCTTGTAGATTGCCAGGCGTGCACCAGAGCAAGGCAGGTAGTGAGGGTAGGAGACAGGAGCAGTGTCATAGGAATAGCCGGGGTCATCAACAGTCGGGCAGCACGGTA